GCCCCGGGAGGAGCCCACGGAGGCTGTGCCGCCAGAGGCCTCTCGGGCCCTCGCCACACCTTCTGTAAAGCAAAACTGCTGTTTTTAGCCCTGGCGCAGGGAGCCCCTGGCCGGCGGGAGGGGTGGCGCTGGGCCTGGGAAGGTCAGTGGCCTTTCAGCTCGTTGCCACAGAGCGCCATGAACATGGCCCGGAAGGCTTCTGGAGACCGGCCCTCCCGCCGGCGATGGGGAAAGCAGGCCTGCGTCTGGCGAGAGCATCGCGGCGGCTGGGCGTGAGCCCCAGGCGCCCAGCCGGCGGCTCTGGTGCCTCCCCTGGCCCAGCTGGCTTCAGAGACGAAGCCCAAAGATGAGCCACAGCTCGGCTGCGTCCCCAGGGCAGGTGAGCCAGCAGCTGGCACGGCCGCCCCTTCCCACGGGCCGCGTCCAGGCCCTGGGCTGTGCCGGCATCTGTTTCTGGTGTCAAGTGGACAGGCACCAGCCAGGCCTGTGGGGGCCGGTAGGGGGGTCGCCAGTGCCCAGCGCTTCGGGGAGGACGCTGATGAGGGGTGCTGACCACCCTGTGTGGGGGCGGGGCTCTGGGTAGCAGCTTAGAACCTCTCGGGAAAAGTAGGCCACAAGGAGGCGGATGCCAGCCTGCACTGGAAGTGTCTTGGGTCCCCCCACGCCCCTCCCTCTGCGGGGGTGGGAAACCCTCACACGCTATGTTCTGGCCCCTTGATTAAAGTGGCAGAGGTCTGCAGCAAAGCCAGGCTGTGGAAGTGACACGGCTGGAGGCGGGGCACCTCAGAGCTCTGGAATCTGGGTGACAGGGTGCCTTGCAGGAAACTGGACAGGGGACGTGCTTTGAGATGGAGTGACAGGGCGCTCTGACTCCACGCTTGACCGACTTTCTCTGCCTGGACTCCCAGGTCGTCCTGTTGGCAGTGACATGGCAGGACTCTGCACACGAGGCCGGCTGTGATTGAGGGCGGTGGGTGTGTGGCCCCCAAGCCTGTGTCGTCCTGGGCTGGAGGCCTGGGGTCTCCGCGATGAGGGGGTGTGCACAGTCCCGTGAAGGCCACCTTTGGCATTTGGAGGGGGAACGGTTGAGCTCCCCAGAATGTCAGACTCTCCCCGTCCTCAGGGGCTGCTCCCCTTCTCTGGGGAGCCATGGATGGAGGTCAGGAACTTTCCAGAAGAGACGCAGGGGCTGCCCCTCCCTCGCTCTTGGTTCTGCCCCGTCTTGCCCTGTAGCTGTCTGTCTTCTGGGGGCAAGCGGAAGCTGGCTCTTCGTGTCAGCTGTGACGGGAGAATCACATTTAATCGGTGAGGATGAGACAGTGTGCCCGGTGGGGGCAGGCGCTCCGGCCGATACGTAGCAGGCCCCCAGAGCTGTCGGTCACTCTGCTCCTCAAGGCCACCCTGGGCAGGGCTGCTTCTTCCATCCGTGGGGGACCTCGCACCACCTTGCGGCTTGGGTTGAGGTGGGTTTTCTGTGACAATGACGAGAAGCGCTGTTGAGGAGCCCAGGGGCTGCGCGGCGTGTGCCAGCCGGGGCCACGGGAGGAGAGGACCGACTAAGTGTGAGCCGGGGGCGGGTGTGCCCAGGCGGCTGCTCGCAGGGACTGGGCCAGGACCCAGCTCTGCGGAGCTCGATGTGCATGTCAGCAAAGTGGGGCGTCCTGCCCCCTGCAGCCCTGGCTTCTGGGCTGGTCCCTCGGCGCCTGCTGAGGGTCAGAGGTTGTCGTGGTGCGGGTGGGGAGGGGGCTCCCAGTTCCCCTAGCCCTCGGCTGCGCCTCTCCTGCTCGTGGCTGACCCCCCACCTCCCCTCTGTCATTTCAGCTCAGCCAGCAGATCTCCTGAAGGTTCTAGATTTTCACAACCTGCCTGACGGCATAACCAAGACCACAGGCTTTTGTGCAACGCGGCGATCTTCCAAAGGCCCGGACGTGGCTTACAGAGTCACAAAGGACGCCCAGCTCAGCGCGCCCACCAAGCAGCTGTACCCTGGTAAGAGGCGTGCGTGTGTGCCCGGCGGGGGTGCCACTCCCCCTTCCCGTCCTCAGCCAGGGAGCAGAGCGGGGCCTGTGTGGTGGGAGAAACATGCTTGGGTTTCCGGGAGGCCCTTCAGATGAGCCCGGTTTGATCCCCGTGCAGTGGACGCACAGCCCCAGCGGCCACCACCCCCACCAGCAAAGTGGGAGTGGGGCCTCGTCTGTTCCCGCTGCTTCTCGGGCAGGTGTGTCTCCGGCTGGAGACGGGCTGCCGGGACTCCAGGTGCAGAAAGGCGATGCATGGGTCTCGGGTGACGAGGTGAAGAGAAAGCCCTGGTCACGGGGAAGGAAGCGCTTCCCGACAGACGCTAATTGGGGGCAAGGACATTAAGAGACACACGGATCGAACCTCAGGGCTCCCGGCGAGAGAGCGCAGGCTCTTAATGAGACTCAATTGCCAAGTGTCAGATCTCTGCCTTTAATTAAGTTCCCAGAGCGGGAAGCGGCGTTAGCAGCTAGGAGACAGCACCCGAGCCAGCCCCGTCTCCGGCCGAGGGGCCGTGTGCGACCCCCCCACCCCGGGCAGCCCTGCGCTGCGTCGGTGGGCCCGTGGTTTGTGACTTCTCCCCCGCCTCGCACGAGCTCCCCTTTCTGGTCCAGGTCAGGAGGGGGCCGGGGACCTCGGGCAGGCGAGCTCACCTCGTCCTGTGATTACCGGAAGGCTGCGCGCCGCCTTTCTGGTGACCGGGTGTGCCCCCGACACTGAACCAGAACCGGGCAGTCCTTTGACAAGTGCTGGTGTCTCTGTCTTCTCAAGCCCCCACTGGCCCCGAGGACACGCCCCTCAGGGGCTGCACCTTCTCTTCCCCTCGCCCCTTCACTCATAACTCGTGCTTCACCCCAGCGACTTTCTCAGCCTCCCTGTAAGTCCCTGGGGACTTTCGAGAGTTTGGGAAGAGAGGCTGAGTCTGCTGTTTGCAGGAATGTCATGAGGGGTGGGTGCCGCCCCTCAGAGGTGCCGAGCCCCGGCTCCCCCTCTTAAAGAGCCCCCACCCCTGAGGGCCCGATGTTCCCCCACCAGACCACCTGCCTCATCACCACGGGCGGGGGTCACTGCCCGGGCTCCTGGGTCCACTTGGCACAAAGAACCGCAGGGACTTCATTTCCCCAGCGTCCAGAGGAGCGTTTCTTGGCCTTTCTGGAGCAAACGTGTCTTTCAGAGTCACCCAGAAGTTGCCTGCTGTCCTGCGCCGCGTCCCCAGTTTAGAATTCCTGTCCTGGAGGGACTGAGGGCCGGGTGCAGGGAAGGCTCCTGGGAGCGACGGCCCAGGGCCTCGGTGGCGGTGTCCTCTGGCACGGACACCGCTGCATGGTGTGTGCGCGGTGTGGCCACCCTCTGAGGCCGTCTGCGGGTACGGTGTCCCACCCCGGGGTCCGCTGGAGTCGGTTTGCTGACCGTTTCTCTGACCCCTGCCACCCGGTTCAGGGTCACGGCCACCTCACTGGCGTCGGAGTCCTTGAACCTGCCCCCTTGTGTTATCTCACGATGAGAGAACACCAGAGGGTCTCAGAATACAGGCCAGTTACCGGAGATCTAGCCTGAACCCCTGAAGCAGCCAGACCTCGCTTCTCCCTCAGCGTCACGCCAGGAGCTGGATTAGACACGCAACGAGTTTAAAAGGCGCCGCAGGGCCTTCCGGCCGTAACTAACTTACGGAGCACACGGGGTCTGTACCTCGCGCTCGCCTCATTAATGCCAAATAAAACTGGGGCTTGATTCCGGGTGATTTTAGGGAGCTTCCGTGGGGTCCTTCCTGCAGGCCCAGTGCTGGGTCAGGGGCCCGTGACCGGACATCCCGCACGTCGTCAGCGTGGTGCGGCTCTGTGGCCCTCGGGCCTGATGGAGCGTGGCGGCCCCTCCGTCCTTTCTCTCGTGGGAGCCTCGGAGTGAGAACCCCCTGTCGTGCTTTTTGCCTGGAGGCCCACCTCCCGGGGACGGGTGGTGTCCGGCTGCGTTTTAGATGCCGTGTCCACTGGGCAGCTGCAGGGAAAGGGGCCGTGGGCCCAGGGGACCACAGCGAGGCCGGGGTCCCAGTGGCCTGAGTTAAGCATAACTGTTTTAAACGTCTCAGTGCAAACGGAGTCTCGACCCGGTGACTTCTCTCCGTAAGGAGAGGGGCCCCAGCGTCTTCCAGCCTCTCTGAGGACGCAGGTGCCCCAGCCCTGCAGGCCGAGGGGGTCTGGGCCATAAGTCAGGGCTCGGCGCCCGAGGCTGAGGGCTTGGGAGCCTTTGTGGGGACCTGCCCCCTTCCCCAGCCCAGGCCAGGCGCCAGCTGCCCCCTAGTGCCTACCACGCCGGCCCCCCCAGCTCGCGGGGCTCCGGCTCTGTGTGGGTTGCCTGCAGTCTGGGCCGTGTCTTGGCTGGGAAATCGGGGTTCCTTGGGCTGGGAGCCTTCAGAGGCCTCGCCCCCCCCCCATCCCAGCAGGTGAAGCGGGGCCGTCCGGTGTACTCTGCGCTTGCCAGCCAGACGGAGACCACCTCCTCCCTGATTCATGTCTTCTGGTTTTAAGGTTTGATGCTGAGTTTTGGGTGTGAGCGCGGTGGTCCAGTGCTGCGGGCGCACAGGCGGCTCAGCTGTGTGCACCTGCTCTCCCCATTCTCGCTGTCGGGGGTTGTTCCAGGCTGCTGCCTGTGGCCCCCGCGCTGCACAGCGGGCCCTCGCTGGTCACCTGTTTTACGTGTTAATCCCAAACTCTTGCCCCTCCCCCATCCCGATTCTAAGAGGATTTTCCAGTCTTGCTTAGAGCCCGTGTCCGTGTTCTGAGGTCATTGGGACTGGGAGCTGGGTTCTGAGTCGCTGGCCTTTCCCGGGGGTTGGCGCCGGGCGGCCTGGCACCGTGAAGGCCAAGCTGGGAGGATGGAAGCAGAAGCCAGGCCCGTGATGCTTTGCGGGGAGTGGACGCCACCAACAAACCAGAGAGGGTCTCACTGCTTGCCTTGG